TTATATACAAATCATTCATTGTTGCTTTATTTCCTTTTCAACATGTTATGAGCTTATGTCTCTTGAGCTGCTAGCTGCGCTATACGCGGGATGTAAGCCGGGAGCGCGATTGTGTAGAAGTCGATCGGTAATTCAGTTTTCATCCGAAACTACCGTGATTGATGGAATCGATCAGATCGTTAGCGTTTTCTCACGATAGTGGAAGCAGACCGTTTGGTAAAGCCTGATCGCATATCTCACGACCAGCAATCCATTTGACTCAGAGTCGCGATCCGTGACCTGGTGATACGCGATCCGCTGATACGAGATCAGGCACAGTAACACGACATCAGGACCAGCAACACGAGATCAGGATATCGTGATCCAGAAGTTTGCGATCGCAAATATGATATGGCGACACACAATTCGCGATCCGTTGTATTGATTGAATGTGAGCCACACCGCGGACTACACGTGTCTTGCGATCCGCTATCCGGTGACCATGAACCAGAGATACGCTATCCGGTGCCCCACGAAAAAAGATCATCTCCAAATCTATCATTCAATGCCGCGTTTCCAAGCTCTCGTTACTTGTAACAAACAGTTTGCTCTCCTCCGGACTGATTTAATTCCACTTTGCATGATTTTGAACATCGCAGACAGGATAATATCTCGATAGCAAACTCAGCTTGTAAACCACCTCTGCCGTCGTAAAGTGAAACATCTAGCGACAGGACTCATCAGTGTAGTGCTACTTATTCTCCAACAAAAAGACGCACAATAACTGATAGAGTCGTCAAGTTGGCGTTTTCGTCTTTTCTTCATCGCTTGATGCAACTGATTGCTGAATGATACATTATCCAGTAATACGCTATCCTTGATCCAGTATCGTGGACCACACTATCTGCAATCCTTAATCCAGTAACGTGGACCACACTATAGATGACACAGATCAGTAAGGAAAGAGTTTATTTCGGTTCAGGTACAGGCTATGTAGCAGATCCTAGCATATAGACAAGCGTATTCGGAGGTTTGGCTTTTGATTGGTTTGCATTAACGAGAGTGTTCAAGTTACTTCAACACGCGTAGACTTCTCTTCCGGGCAGGGCCTTCAGTCTTCCAACATACAAGACAGTCAATCGCGTCTACGCAGATGATTACCGTGGAGTATGTGGTCAGGGTCCAACGATTCCCGAGCTCTCCAATTGATGGTTGCGGTGGATGCAACGGAGCTTAAAGTACTGAAGCCGAAAAAGCAAAAAGCATTCATTCTCTCTCATGCAGAACAATCGAGCAGGTTTTATTTCCAAGTGATGGAACAATAGATGTATCGCAAAACAGTATCATCTCTTGTCGTCGAAGGGGAGTGTAGGAAGTGCAAGTTGCACTAGTATTGACTCCATATAGCTTCAACCTATGCTAGGGAATATATGAAGGGTCTAGAAGGATTAAGGTTCTTCGATGTACTGGAAAATGGGTCCTAGATAGCTAAAGGATTGAATATTTATCACTTGTAAGTTGACAAGCCACTAATGAGGCCCCGGCGGTGCCCAAAAGCATCTGGCACGCGTTTATATACAAATCATTCATTGTTGCTTTATTTCCTTTTCAACATGTTATGAGCTTATGTCTCTTGAGCTGCTAGCTGCGCTATACGCGGGATGTAAGCCGGGAGCGCGATTGTGTAGAAGTCGATCGGTAATTCAGTTTTCATCCGAAACTACCGTGATTGATGGAATCGATCAGATCGTTAGCGTTTTCTCACGATAGTGGAAGCAGACCGTTTGGTAAAGCCTGATCGCATATCTCACGACCAGCAATCCATTTGACTCAGAGTCGCGATCCGTGACCTGGTGATACGCGATCCGCTGATACGAGATCAGGCACAGTAACACGACATCAGGACCAGCAACACGAGATCAGGATATCGTGATCCAGAAGTTTGCGATCGCAAATATGATATGGCGACACACAATTCGCGATCCGTTGTATTGATTGAATGTGAGCCACACCGCGGACTACACGTGTCTTGCGATCCGCTATCCGGTGACCATGAACCAGAGATACGCTATCCGGTGCCCCACGAAAAAAGATCATCTCCAAATCTATCATTCAATGCCGCGTTTCCAAGCTCTCGTTACTTGTAACAAACAGTTTGCTCTCCTCCGGACTGATTTAATTCCACTTTGCATGATTTTGAACATCGCAGACAGGATAATATCTCGATAGCAAACTCAGCTTGTAAACCACCTCCGCCGTCGTAAAGTGAAACATCTAGCGACAGGACTCATCAGTGTAGTGCTACTTAGTCTCCAACAAAAAGACGCACAATAACTGATAGAGTCGTCAAGTTGGCGTTTTCGTCTTTTCTTCATCGCTTGATGCAACTGATTGCTGAATGATACATTATCCAGTAATACGCTATCCTTGATCCAGTATCGTGGACCACACTATCTGCAATCCTTAATCCAGTAACGTGGACCACACTATAGATGACACAGATCAGTAAGGAAAGAGTTTATTTCGGTTCAGGTACAGGCTATGTAGCAGATCCTAGCATATAGACAAGCGTATTCGGAGGTTTGGCTTTTGATTGGTTTGCATTAACGAGAGTGTTCAAGTTACTTCAACACGCGTAGACTTCTCTTCCGGGCAGGGCCTTCAGTCTTCCAACATACAAGACAGTCAATCGCGTCTACGCAGATGATTACCGTGGAGTATGTGGTCAGGGTCCAACGATTCCCGAGCTCTCCAATTGATGGTTGCGGTGGATGCAACGGAGCTTAAAGTACTGAAGCCGAAAAAGCAAAAAGCATTCATTCTCTCTCATGCAGAACAATCGAGCAGGTTTTATTTCCAACTGATGGAACAATAGATGCATCGCAAAACAGTATCATCTCTTGTCGTCGAAGGGGAGTGTTGGAAGTGCAAGTTGCACTAGTATTGACTCCATATAGCTTCAACCTATGCTAGGGAATATATGAAGGGCCTAGAAGGATTAAGGTTCTTCGATGTACTGGAAAATGGGTCCTAGATAGCTAAAGGATTGAATAGTTATCACTTGTAAGTTGACAAGCCACTAATGAGGCCCCGGCGGTGCCCAAAAGCATCTGGCACGCGTTTATATACAAATCATTCATTGTTGCTTTATTTCCTTTTCAACATGTTATGAGCTTATGTCTCTTGAGCTGCTAGCTGCGCTATACGCGGGATGTAAGCCGGGAGCGCGATTGTGTAGAAGTCGATCGGTAATTCAGTTTTCATCCGAAACTACCGTGATTGATGGAATCGATCAGATCGTTAGCGTTTTCTCACGATAGTGGAAGCAGACCGTTTGGTAAAGCCTGATCGCATATCTCACGACCAGCAATCCATTTGACTCAGAGTCGCGATCCGTGACCTGGTGATACGCGATCCGCTGATACGAGATCAGGCACAGTAACACGACATCAGGACCAGCAACACGAGATCAGGATATCGTGATCCAGAAGTTTGCGATCGCAAATATGATATGGCGACACACAATTCGCGATCCGTTGTATTGATTGAATGTGAGCCACACCGCGGACTACACGTGTCTTGCGATCCGCTATCCGGTGACCATGAACCAGAGATACGCTATCCGGTGCCCCACGAAAAAAGATCATCTCCAAATCTATCATTCAATGCCGCGTTTCCAAGCTCTCGTTACTTGTAACAAACAGTTTGCTCTCCTCCGGACTGATTTAATTCCACTTTGCATGATTTTGAACATCGCAGACAGGATAATATCTCGATAGCAAACTCAGCTTGTAAACCACCTCCGCCGTCGTAAAGTGAAACATCTAGCGACAGGACTCATCAGTGTAGTGCTACTTAGTCTCCAACAAAAAGACGCACAATAACTGATAGAGTCGTCAAGTTGGCGTTTTCGTCTTTTCTTCATCGCTTGATGCAACTGATTGCTGAATGATACATTATCCAGTAATACGCTATCCTTGATCCAGTATCGTGGACCACACTATCTGCAATCCTTAATCCAGTAACGTGGACCACACTATAGATGACACAGATCAGTAAGGAAAGAGTTTATTTCGGTTCAGGTACAGGCTATGTAGCAGATCCTAGCATATAGACAAGCGTATTCGGAGGTTTGGCTTTTGATTGGTTTGCATTAACGAGAGTGTTCAAGTTACTTCAACACGCGTAGACTTCTCTTCCGGGCAGGGTCTTCAGTCTTCCAACATACAAGACAGTCAATCGCGTCTACGCAGATGATTACCGTGGAGTATGTGGTCAGGGTCCAACGATTCCCGAGCTCTCCAATTGATGGTTGCGGTGGATGCAACGGAGCTTAAAGTACTGAAGCCGAAAAAGCAAAAAGCATTCATTCTCTCTCATGCAGAACAATCGAGCAGGTTTTATTTCCAACTGATGGAACGATAGATGCATCGCAAAACAGTATCATCTCTTGTCGTCGAAGGGGAGTGTTGGAAGTGCAAGTTGCACTAGTATTGACTCCATATAGCTTCAACCTATGCTAGGGAATATATGAAGGGCCTAGAAGGATTAAGGTTCTTCGATGTACTAGAAATTAGAGTTTAGGTACCTGAAGGGTTTGATAGTTTTTACGACAAGAGCCTCATAGCAAGACATGCGTCAACATAGCTACATTTCTCTGTCGAGCCAAACGTTAAAGAGATAGTTTTCCGATTTAAGTTTCCTTGTTTTTGCTTTTAGTGGTGCTGTTTAACTTTCACATACCTTGATCAGTACTTAAACATGCTTTCCACATTTGTGACACCATCTCCGGTTGAGGAAATCTCAAACATGTAATGCACTGATTTCCTGCAACGACGTTGGCGCATGACAATGCGCAAGAAAACCTATAGCTTCAGCTCCAAGGACTGCACTCGATAAAGTATGAGCCGTAAAACATACATTTAACGCTTGTGACATGGTCACATTTAAAGCTGCAAGAGCCGACTAAAACCTCAACTTCTTTACCACCAGTCAATCAACTGAATCCATTGGCGAATTTTATGTCTCGCGTGTCATTTCTCCCGCTGCACGACTTGGCTCCGCAACTATTACGTCGTGAGCGTCAATGCAGTGACATTGACAATGAACTTTTATCCAATACATTGCGTGGAGGTCGTAAAGCCAATCATTATCGTAAACTAATGGTGGAATTGGTGCGATGTCATCCGGTGCTCTCACGTCGAGACTTTATCTACCAGAACCACAAAGAGCGCTACGCTGCAGGCTTAAAAAAGATCTATCACTATGTTCTTCTTGTTAAAAGTCATTGCATTGAGGACCCGCGTAATCAACAAGAATTGTACGTAGCTTTAGGTGAGCGTCTACCACTCGAAGTCCATCGTGCGATGTTCATTCCAACGCTTGAAAATCAAGCGGACCAGGAGCAGCAAGCTAAATGGTTGCCTCTTGCAAGGAACTTTAAAATTATTGGAACGTACGCACAAACAGAAATGGGCCATGGCTCCAATGTACAAGGCATTGAAACGACGGCAATCTATGACAAAGGGAAGCAGGAATATGTGATCAACTCCCCGACTCTCACGAGTCGGAAGTGGTGGCCTGGAGGTCTCGGCTCGACTGCAACCCATGCAATTGTCTATGCCAGATTAGAAATTGATGGAGTAAAAAAAAAGTGTCCAAGCTTTCATCGTGCCTTTAAGATCGTTGGAGGACCATATGCCGCTACCTGGGATCGACATTGGAGATATTGGACCGAAGGTGGGATTCAACTCGCTTGACAATGGATATGCAGTATTTCACAATGTGAGAATTCCGAGACAAAATATGCTCATGAGGTATGCGAAAGTTCTGGCTAATGGAACATACGTGAAGCCAAAAAACTCAAAGTTAGTGTACTTAACCATGACGCAGGTAAGAGCGTATTTGATCCTGAAATTAAGTTTCGCTCTTGGGGCGGCTACTACTATCACAACGCGATTCAGTGCTGTACGTGTGCAAGGACAAAATGTTAAAACGCCAAATAGGGATACTGATCAAACAGATGTGGACCTGAGCGACGAACGTCAAGTGCTCGATTACCAGAACCAGCAGTACGTGCTTCTGCCGCTCATAGCATTGGCCTTTGCAGCCAATTTTGCTGGAAGAGAAATAACATCGTTGCACGACGACGTGCTCATGTTGGTAAAGAAAGGCAGCGGGTACTTTGCAGCCCGTGTTGCGGAGGTTCATGCAGTGTCTTCTGGGCTAAAGGCGTTGCTAGCAGACCGCGTGAACGACGGGATTGAGCAGTGCCGACGACTGTGTGGAGGCTTTGGTTTTCTGCAGTCTAGCAATTTGGCTCATTTATTTGCTGAGAATGTGGGTGCATGTACGTTTGAAGGCACGTCTGATGTACTGGTTCAGCAACACGCGCGTTATCTGTCAAAGATGCATGCTCGTTTGAGCCGTCCAAGTGAAGTCAATGAAGATGCAGAAAGTGATGATTCGACTAGCTTTCTCCGCTACTGTGATGTATACGTCAATCCTCATTTGCGATGCCATGCTCGCCGCGCAGAGGACTTTGGCAGCTTCGACCTTTTGGCAGATGCCTTTGTGGTGCGTGCTGCGCGATCAATTCAGCACCTTACTGAAGCTATCGCTGCCTCTAGCAAAGACGAAAGCTCATATATGCTCATCATGACTATCGCCTCGACGCACCATGCCGAATTGATGCTATTGAAGTCCTTCGTTTCCGGTGTGCATACACTGCCTTCTGGCAAAACCAAGGCGGCTGTGACACAGCTTTGTCAGCTCTTCGGTGCATCACTACTTGTGAAGGGAATGGGTGACTTTCGCCAGCATAATTATCTCTCTTGCGCACAAGGAGACATGGTACATCAACAACTTCAAAAGCTAATGGCTTGTGTGCGTCGGAACGCCGTGCGATTGACTGATGCTTGGGACTTCAGCGATTTCGAGCTCAACTCGACGATTGGTCGTTACGATGGAGACATTTATCGTGCTCTTGTGGAGAAGACAAAACACGAGCCTTTGAATTTATTGCAAGTGCCTCGCGGATATAACAAGTACCTCCGTCCGCTCTTTCAGTCAGGGTTGTAGCTACATGTAGTATCGTACATGTCTCATGTGCACAATGTTAGCTCAACTTGTAATTATCAGCTGCTTCGAAACCCGACCAGCTTCCTTTTGATAGGCAATTCTGGCACGACTGATAGATTCAAACGTGGTCATGAAACATCGAGCTGAACGGCGATACGATATGCACAGGCAACAAGTTTATCTGTCAGGTCGTGCGCAGATGCTATGCTTCAGAAATGAACGTAAAGGCTGCAATTGAAACAGTAATCCAAGAAATGCGTCTTTTCATGAATGACCTTGCGTATTTGGCGCACGTGCGTCTAATCCACACAATTACGTATCGGCACTATTGCATCGCATTGTTCACCACCGTCGAGCATTCGTTAATACTGCGCTGGATCCAAACTGTTGTATCGAGAAGTATACACTCTTGTCTTTTTTGGCAACAAGATGGCACGTTTGGCGACTTTAATATCACAAACGAGTCATTAGAAACATTAAGCGACCAAGGCATAGACACATCAAACGTTTCTAAGGCTTCCTCATGCAACGCAGGTTTGATTCTATCTTGTACTAGGCGACGAGGTTGTACATTGGACGCTTTACTCATTGGGGGCAGTTCTGCCTTCCTGACGAATATTAGAGATCATCTGAACTGGTGTCTCCAGTCATGTAATCGACGTCTCCAGGGTTGATACTTTCCAGGTGTGGCACTCTGTATGCGACCTTGCCTCTGTCAACTTCACCTTATTGCAAAAGGCGCCCCCAACTTCACCTTATTGCAAAAGGCGCCCCGGTCATCACCTTTATCCCACCCCCCACCCACCTATCAGTTTAAAAGCGTTGCAAAAGGATCTTCCTTCAGATTCTTGTTTGCACTGATATACGTTCTTGCGCGGTCTTGAAACCAACACCAACACAATCAAAACAGAAAACACTATCCACAAACTGGAAACGGATGCTTAGTCGAGCTTTCTATCTACGACGCAAAACATCAGCATAATCCAAAGAATTGGTCGGCTGCACGACAAGAGCCAAGGGTAGTGCTCCACGAAAATCGCTAGGAAGAGTTGTGAAGCGCGTGTGATCAGTGATGTAAAAGATATCCATCCTGCAGCTCGACGGCTGTTGCATGAGCCGTCGACACGATCGCAGCGATGGGTTCAGCAGCACAGTCCGTCCGTACTAATATCAGCGAGTCCTTATCAACGCATGGACGTGTCCACTTTGTTGAACAACGACGCAGCTCATAAAAAGAATTATAGTCGTCTTGTAACCGCAACAATGAAGAGAACGTAAGTCTGATTATGCTATGGAAAGAATCCAGTCGAACTAGTAGGAAGTTTACAGAGGTATGTGCAAGATTGACAGTGCATGGTGATGCCCGTCTTGCAGCTCACTTACTATCGTGTGAAAGCGAAGCTTGTGATAGCAGAACGTTATGCACCGACTAAATGCACCTGTAGCAACCTAGCCGTCTTCTGAATGCAGTTTGCGCGAAAGAACTTCCATAGATCGTTTGTCGTGACACATTTATAAGGTATTAGCTGAGTCCATTACGAACGCATTGGCGACCACCTTCAAGCAGACACACTTTTTCAATTGAATAAGCTTGGACGAATAAGCTTCAGTAGTCGATGTACATGAATTGCGCTTCATTGTGCAATCGTCTTAAACAAAACACGTGCCATTTACATGATTCCAACGGCATATAGAACCACCTTAACATCGCTGCACCAGCAGCATGTACAGAGTTGTAGAAATATTAGAATGCTGCCAAAGAGCTAGGCTCAAGATCATTATTCAGCCTTAACGGTTTTCGTATCCTATTTTTACAGATTATTATCAGTCATGACAGCACTTGCATTGAAACTAGTTTATGACCCAAGAGCGGTGAAATTAAATGTCAAAGTCCCATGAGTAATATTCCGCCCACGCTCGACTCTAATGAAGAATATTCGACCATAGAATATTCTTTGCCAAAGAAGCAAATGACGGCGCGTTTTATTGCGGTAAACGGCTCTTCTGTCGACGCAATTGACGAAGATACCACCGTTGTTAGCTCCGAGCTCACCTTTACCTCATATCGTCTTGTGTGGCTTGAGTGCTCTCGGTATTGGACCTCCCTCCATCTTTACTGAAACGCAAGACAAACCAGCAGCTGCTATCAGGAAACAAAAGTGAGAGAGCTGTAAAGATATCTTGCAGCTGCTCAAAACAAGCGCAGATGCTGAACATAGTTGACGCCCAGCTAGCAAAATTTTTTGGCCGCGATAGTGTCGGCTGATGAACAGTTGACAGGACATAAACTGTGATGGATAAATTGAGCCAAGTCGTGACCATGTTGGTACTCCAGAAACGAGAGACTGAAATTGCTATTGCTACCCGGTAAATGCTGGGGTCACACGCTTATTGGACAGGCAAAAATGACTGATGATGCTGTGCAGTGTGTAAGCACTTGAATTGGAGGCCTCCCAAGTGTTCGACGTATCAGAATGGATGAACGAAGCGGTTAAACAGACGCTATGGCAAATAATTAAATTCACAAAATTGCTCCGCTTGCTATTTTCGCACGCTTAAGAACTGCAAAAATGGTGCACAGGTTTTTGGCAACGAGGCAGCAAACTAGAACCCGGACTCCTCTTGTTGAGTTGGTCTCGGAAATCACGCTGCAGAATGCGCATACCGGTCATGGATTCCGCAGGAATGTTCTTTTCATCTGCATAAATTAGGAGCTTTGCGATCCATTTGAGACGCTGCCTGAGCTCATGAACACTCAAGCTATCGTTAGCATCCGCGGCTTTAGTTTTTTTCTGCTGAACCACAACTTTTTCGGACTCCACAGCAGCGCAAAAGTCCTCGTTCGTGGGCTCATCCATTATCACATACTCTTCTGGCAGATTAAGCAGTTCATCCACTGTGAGCGGGTCCGCCGCATGCAACCAGGACAGCATCACCGCCAGCTCTTCTGATATTGTGTCTTCCTCCCCATGGCATTCGTAGGTATGATCAGGATTGTTTGCACACATCAGACCAGTACCCTGCCAGCAGCGTACGATTACCGAGGAAGGCACTGCGTCCCAACAACTGATACACCAAGACAGCGCTTGTCTCAAACCAACACTGTCGAACTTGGCAGCTGTGCTAACATCAGTATCAGCATCAAGGTGATCGAGCACATACTGGATCTGTCGTTGTCTGTAACGTCTTTTGAAAGCGGTGAAGATTCCAGAAGAAAGAGGATGCATATTGCTCGGCGGAAGAAAGACCACCTCGATATTTTTCAGCTCCTCAGCGTTAAGTCCAGCATGAACCACTGCATTATCAATGAGCAGTAGAGTTTTGCGCTGTTGTTGATCAAACTTGGCGTCCACATCTTTAATCCACTTTGTAAAAATCTCTCGCGTCATTAGCGTATTTGAATTGTGCGTATAGTTCATCTCTATTGCAGTCGAGCTTGTGAAACCCCGCGGCTTTTCAGCCTTTCCAATAAACAACGGTGGTAGTTTCTCGGATCCATCCGCGTTACAACTGAATCCAATTGTCAGCCTTTTGCTTGTCCGTTTCCCGGATCGATCTGGAAACATGGTAAAAAGTAGCCCCGTTTCATCCATACAAAAAACATTCCTCGCTTCAAAGGTCTGAAGTCGACGTTGCAGATCACTCATCGCCTGTTCAATCGACGCTTTTTTCTCTTTATGAGATTTCAAACCCCCAAATCCATGACGTTCATTGAATTTGTAGAGCCACCCATTCGAAAATGTCAATGGAGTGTCAATGTGCAAAATTTCAGCAAATGTTGCTGCTTTCAGTCGGATGGACTCTCCCGTCACAGGCATTCCTGTTTCCTCACAGTATAAAACCCATCTAGCTAATGCACTATCCAGACGAGGAAAACGCACAGTGCGTCGAGACTTGCATGTTAATTCCTCAGTTGTCATACTTTCAAAGTCAGGTTTCCTTTTGAGGAGTTTAGAGATCATGGCTTGCGACGGTTTGCGTGGAAGGTCAAACGTCTCATAAGCCCATAATGCAAGTTGATTTTGCGTTATACTAGGATGCTGCTCGCGATAATTGCATATTTGAAGACGCTGGGCGTTGGTGAACGTCGTTCTTGGAAATATAATCTTTTTCGGAGGGTAGGAACTAGACGGCATCGTTATCGAGGGGATTAGAAAATAATAAATGAGAGAGAAGCCAGTGACAAATTAGAAATCCTCACACATTTTTGTACCTTTAGAAACGCTGAAGCATATGAGCTATTTATGTGATAAGAGGAAAGAAAACGTCCAGTATTTGACAAATAGCTGACAGTTTTTGAGCTGCGTGTAGAAAAAGCATAGCTTGCAATCATTTGTGTCCAAAGCTGCATAGTTATCCTTCTTTACGCAAGCAAAAATAGCCTCGAATCTATCAGCTTAAACTTGAAGACTTCATCTTCATCAACTTTTCTCTTTCGTCAACCTTTTCATAGTGATAAAAGCATTGATGCATAGCGCTTTCAGTAACAAGGTCATTTGTGGATGACTGACCTTTGCTACTAAAGAGAGGCTTATCTTGGCTTTAACTAGGTCAATGCCAAAAAAAAGCTCCGAATGATATGGACCTAGTAAAGACAAAAAGGTGGCTAAGGACCTGCAAAACCGAGTAGTAAGGCAAACAGGTTGCATTCTCGCTGACACAGCTCGAAGAGGAATTTCTCAATGGTGGTGGATTGTAACGCTGAACAAGCAGCACATGATTGATCTGGAGACCAGTTCTCTACCGCTGGGTCTGGAAGGACTTCCAAGCCTATCACTTTAAGCATCATTGACTACGACGATGGCTGTGATAGTGAGATGGCCTTTACTCAATTGTAATAGCCCGCAGCAACTTAATACCTACAATATAAATATAAACAAAGAACGACATGCATATTGTCTCAAGGCTTAAGTATGCAGCTGACATTTCATCCAAGGTTGGCTCAAGCAAATAGCTTGTCGCGACACATCAGACACAAGTGTTGGCATACTCATCGCACCAGGCGATTAGTTTTTGCAGTACATTGTCTTTATCTTGAGAACGCAGCACGTTCAACACCAAACAGACTAAATATCTTGTGGAAGTCTGTGCTCAAACCGCTGGAATAAAAGCGTTTAATGAGGAGCACGCCACCATTTCGAGCTCAAGCTTAACACCTCGACTTTTGATATAGGCAACTTTTAACAGTCAAGAGTAATTCACGGATCACTAACTTTGAGTATTTGAGTGGGTGCAAATTTCAAACACTAATTTAGTCAAAAAGCTTTGAAGTCTGCTGCTAACGCGATGATGTGAATGCTTCTCTAATTGGACATGATGCAGCAAACTGCCGCTTGGACAAGGCAAATTAATTGCATCCATAGTCATGACAAGATAAATGGGATGCGCATCCGCCACCATTTCAGCAAATACGTCATTCCATATCGCTTTCTGTTTGAAGACAAAATTCTTGTTTTGACAATGGTGTGGTTTTGTGGCCGCAGCAACAATACATTGCGCCAAACACGACAGTGAAATAGCTTTCAATGAGGGTGCTTCACTGACATCGCTTCGACGACACTGTAGCAGAGCTACCGTAGCAAAGTTACTTATGCACTAAGTGGAGAAGAAGACAAGCTCAAATAGCTTTACTTCTCAAGGTTCGTAATCCTCGCAAATCTAGCTTTACAAACTTGTGCCTTTTTGGTTTGCAACAACCATGTCTTAACGAGACCAGTATCAGGGATACTACATTTCTTCTTTCAGGAAAGGATCTAGCAACAATATCTATACAGAGCAGATTTGATACTGATTTTTGATAAACGTTTATCTTCTAGCACTAAATATAAAAGCACCTACTCTATACTTAGTGCTAGTCACTATTTATCTGGCTCTGTTGTCTCCTAATATGAAAACATGTATAGTCACTATAATTAACTAAGTATAATGACCACTTGGCTCTCTGCCACGATGTGAACCCATTGTACCTTAGGTACGGTCGCATCAACCTACCACTGTACCCAAAGTACAGCCACATCACAATAATGTTGCAGGTGTGTATGTACAATACACCCCTTTGTGTAACCCCCTTCCAACAACAGCTTTACACGCTACGTAGTGACATGAACTCTGATTCCTTAGCGAGCGTCAACAGTGTGCGCCTTAATTTGTCCATCTCTAGTAGCTTATTAAGGTTAATTCTTATCCAAGAGAGCGAGGTGGGCCAAAAAATTGTTCAATCTTCCTGACTCACAATCAAGCACAATCAAAATTGTCGAGGGTGGTGCCTTTGAATGCTGACATATCTTTGATCAAGGCGGTGCTTAGGTGCATACGTCAAGAAAGCGAAAAGTCTGCACGGCATGTAGCTGAAAACAAAGTACCTTGATATCTTGTCGAAAATAAGAATACAGCGACGTAGCTAAGAGAACCATATGGCAGCTTTCAATTCGGTTTGGAGCAGACTTTGTAAGGACAGCAGTGAACTTGCCAAAAACGATGCTGTCCTTACTCGTTTCATTGCTAACCTGCTGAATAGCTATGGACATGATCGCAGGGAAATCAACTTTTTAGATGCTTATAATTGACGAATAACCGACAAATAACCTCTGTTCAATTATATTTGCCACATTATATTTCACAGGGATCAGGTTCACCACTCAATAAAAGCTTTCAGAGCCAACAAAACCGCAACTCCGTTGACTAAACGATTGACTTTTCGCCCCACAAGATCCATTTAGACAGATTGCACGGTCTTCAATATATTGAAATCGTTGCTGATACTAATCTGAACCCACTTACAGGTACGAAAGTCGTTTCTAACTTCTTCTCGTACAGGCTTGGTAGGCAAAGATGCGACATCACCATCTTCGATCCATCCAAAACGTTACGTCAAACACAGCGATGGCATCAAAGCTGCGCAAGTCCCGCTTTTTTCAAAAACAATTATGAGAGCAAGTGAAGCAGATTGCATGAATTTAGCGTCAAATGAGAAGAATATGCAAACTTATACGCTGGCGGCAACATGTCTTCACGATATCATGGCGCTCCCAGACATGGTCCAAATGTCGCGGATCATCAAATGTCGTCGACTCAACCCATGTCGGTGGCGACTGTACGTGTGCCTTTCCGTTCTCAAGCTGTATAATACCAACTGTAAGACAGGCTCTGCTGAATGCGACGATTATCCTCATTGCCTTGAGCTTCTTCAGGCGCGTGCGTGATCTATATTTCGCTGCAACTGATATAACATCGAAACTGCGCGGCTTTTGCCTTCTTCAAAAACAATTATGAGAGCAAGTGAAGCAGATTGCATGAATGTAGCGTCAAATGAGAAGAATATGCAAACTTATACGCTGGCGGCAACATGTCTTCACGATATCATGGCGCTCCCAGACATGGTCCAAATGTCGCGGATCATCAAATGTCGTCGACTCAACCCATGTCGGTGGCGACTGTACGTGTGCCTTTCCGTTCTCAAGCTGTATAATACCAACTGTAAGACAGGCTCTGCTGAATGCGACGATTATCCTCATTGCCTTGAGCTTCTTCAGGCGCGTGCGTGATCTATATTTCGCTGCAACTGATATAACATCGAAACTGCGCGGCTTTTGCCTTCTTCAAAAACAATTATGAGAGCAAGTGAAGCAGATTGCATGAATGTAGCGTCAAATGAGAAGAATATGCAAACTTATACGCTGGCGGCAACATGTCTTCACGATATCATGGCGCTCCCAGACATGGTCCAAATGTCGCGGATCATCAAATGTCGTCGACTCAACCCATGTCGGTGGCGACTGTACGTGTGCCTTTCCGTTCTCAAGCTGTATAATACCAACTGTAAGACAGGCTCTGCTGAATGCGACGATTATCCTCATTGCCTTGAGCTTCTTCAGGCGCGTGCGTGATCTATATTTCGCTGCAACTGATATAACATCGAAACTGCGCGGCTTTTGCCTTCTTCAAAACAATTATGAGAGCAAGTGAAGCAGATTGCATGAATGTAGCGTCAAATGAGAAGAATATGCAAACTTATACGCTGGCGGCAACATGTCTTCACGATATCATGGCGCTCCCAGACATGGTCCAAATGTCGCGGATCATCAAATGTCGTCGACTCAACCCATGTCGGTGGCGACTGTACGTGTGCCTTTCCGTTCTCAAGCTGTATAATACCAACTGTAAGACAGGCTCTGCTGAATGCGACGATTATCCTCATTGCCTTGAGCTTCTTCAGGCGCGTGCGTGATCTATATTTCGCTGCAACTGATATAACATCGAAACTGCGCGGCTTTTGCCTTCTTCAAAAACAATTATGAGAGCAAGTGAAGCAGATTGCATGAATGTAGCGTCAAATGAGAAGAATATGCAAACTTATACGCTGGCGGCAACATGTCTTCACGATATCATGGCGCTCCCAGACATGGTCCAAATGTCGCGGATCATCAAATGTCGTCGACTCAACCCATGTCGGTGGCGACTGTACGTGTGCCTTTCCGTTCTCAAGCTGTATAATACCAACTGTAAGACAGGCTCTGCTGAATGCGACGATTATCCTCATTGCCTTGAGCTTCTTCAGGCGCGTGCGTGATCTATATTTCGCTGCAACTGATATAACATCGAAACTGCGCGGCTTTTGCCTTCTTCAAAAACAATTATGAGAGCAAGTGAAGCAGATTGCATGAATGTAGCGTCAAATGAGAAGAATATGCAAACTTATACGCTGGCGGCAACATGTCTTCACGATATCATGGCGCTCCCAGACATGGTCCAAATGTCGCGGATCATCAAATGTCGTCGACTCAACCCATGTCGGTGGCGACTGTACGTGTGCCTTTCCGTTCTCAAGCTGTATAATACCAACTGTAAGACAGGCTCTGCTGAATGCGACGATTATCCTCATTGCCTTGAGCTTCTTCAGGCGCGTGCGTGATCTATATTTCGCTGCAACTGATATAACATCGAAACTGCGCGGCTTTTGCCTTCTTCAAAAACAATTATGAGAGCAAGTGAAGCAGATTGCATGAATGTAGCGTCAAATGAGAAGAATATGCAAACTTATACGCTGGCGGCAACATGTCTTCACGATATCATGGCGCTCCCAGACATGGTCCAAATGTCGCGGATCATCAAATGTCGTCGACTCAACCCATGTCGG